TAACAAGAGTACTCATTTTCTCCCAAATAGTCTTTCTCCTTGGATGGCACTGGATAAAGCAGTGGTTCTCAACCTTCTGGCCCTTTAAATACAGTTCCTCATGTTGTGACCCAACCATAAAATGATTTTCGTTGCTACTTCATAACTATAATGTTGCTACTGTTATGAATCGTAATGTAAATATCTGATATGCAGGATATGATAACGACCCTGAGAAAAGGTCGTTTGACCGCCAAAGGGGTCACGACCCACAGTTGAGAACCGCTGGGATAAAGACAGATAAAGTCTGTGTTTCCAGACTCCATGTTGACCAGCCACTCCTCCTTCAGCCAACACATCCTTCCACCAGGAAGCCCAGCTTCAACATAACTGATTCACTCACAGCTCTTTCTAGCAGCATCTATTCTTGAGGACACATGCAAGTGGGCATTTTCATGCCAGGCAGTGTGTGTGTGGCACCTAGAATCTCTTAGGGTGGGGATGCTTCTGCAGAAAGTATTCCATTTATTTGATGCTGACTCTCCTTGTCCCCCAGTTCTGCAGACCTCTTATTTGGCTTCTTCTCTTGACAGTACCACTGAGGCATTGGGCAGAGTGGGACAGATTGAGAGCTAGTCAGTGGGCCCGCCAGGAAGCTGGGCTCTCCGGCAGCCTGGGAGCTGGCTGAGAAGGGGGCTCACAGCCTTGGTCCCCTTACGTGTTTGCCTTATGCTGACTGAGCTGGGGTTTTCTTGTGCCTCTCGTGGACAGCCAGCTTGTGACTCTCAGCGTCCCAACTAAGCCACCAGCCATGTGACATCCTGTGAGTCACTTCTCTCTGGACTTTAGTTTCAAATAGGCCCTATGGTCTCATCCAGCCCTAAGATGACCAACTTAAAGTAATTTATATTTATAAACTGCTTTAAAATACAACATATTATGGAATCCCACAATTCCATGTTTATCTATGAGGAGAATGAATCTTGGAGAAGATAAGCACCTCATCTTGAATCATCCGCCTAGCAAACGAGGCAAACTAGGTCTCAAACAGAGATCAAACGTTTCATTTTCTTAATCACTGATGGATAATGTTTCCTGGGACCTGGACAAGGAGGATTTTTTTTAAAACTTATCCGGGTCCTTTGCTTTCTTTTCCTTGCCTCTCCCATTTCAGGAGCTGGACTGACTTTATTCTCTTTGCCTTCTTTCTGCTGAGTTCCCCATGTTCTCTTTCAGTCTTCGTCTCTCCTTCTCCCCTCCACCTTCTCCCTCCCCTATTCATCCCTCTCTTAGCCTCCTCCTCTCTCCCTGCCCCCTTCCTCCACGTGCATGCCAACCTCTCTTGGTAAATATTGCTGGGTTCTGCTTTGTAAAGATGTCTCCCCACACTCCTGGGCGAATCTGTGGGTCAGTGAGGGCAGGAGGATGGTGTCCAAGCGCAGCCTAAGGATCAGGGTGGTGTTTCCTAGTCTAGTGCAGTGGCTTCACCATCAGCTAAAGGATGGCTGGCCTACATGGGAATCACCAGGGGTGGGAGACATGTATGATTCCAGATGCAGAGACTTTATTCATTAGGGTCAGGGTGAAAACTTAGTACTTTGTATTTTAAAAAAGCTCTCCTGAAGTGATTATGATGAGTGGCAAGGTTCATACTTGTGCCCACAAGGCCCGCCCCTAGTGGTGAGCCAGTGAGTGGCCAAGTGTCCACCGGAGTACCAAGAGGGTTGCCTAAGTTAGAGGTCTTTCTTGTAGGTCATGGAACATCAGCTAGTGAGTTTGGCATCTGCTCCCTCTGCATTCTAGGACCTAGGTGGACGCCCCATCAGTGATACCTCCAGCGCAATAGGGGGAGCGCTTGCTTCTGCCATATTTGTGCAAGCAGAGTGTTCTGATCTGCATTCCATCTATTTTTGGGTATCAGTCCCCAAACCAGAGATGTGTCCATTCCTTTCACCCTTTTAGATGACACTTCCTTTTCTGATACAGTTGTCACCCCTGTTATTGGCTGGAAATGAGAAGAGAAGAGCAATTTTCACTCAATTCTCTCTTAACTGAATATGAGTTTCCTAATTAAATTAAATTCCTAATTAAATTAGGATCCTAATTAAATGCCAGGACTTCCCCACATGAGATCTCTGGGGGACACACATGCAGAACTTGGTAGAATCTTTGAGGCCATCTAGTCTACCTGTACCAATGAATCCACTCTGCCTATTGCCAAAAGATAAAAAGATAAACAATGTTTGCAGATAAGCTCTGTGCTGCATCCTCACCAAGCTTTTTGCTGGATTCACACTCTGCCCTTGGTTTACACCAAGTGCCCTCAATGGGGGCAATATCGCCCCCAAGAGGGTAAAAATATTGTGATTTTAGGTATAATGGTTCCAGGAGGCCATAGGAAATAAAATATATAATATAGCTGTGATATTAAATTTTCATGGGGACATTTGTAATAGTGTCAACAATAAAAATAGTTAAAAATGTTTTCATGCAGGGAAGGTGATAAGGGAACACATGTTGAAAAAGTTTCGTAGAGGGACAAAAACTAGAAAAGGGTTGAGAAACACTGATTTATGCACAGGGCTCTGCACCTGTGGCTAAGAAGTTAAAATTATGCCAAGTCATCCACATCCTTTCATTCTGCATCTCCTGTGTCCAAGGACGAAGAAGTCAGAGATAAAATTCTCCTCTAACTGCATAGCTCTGGTCATTTGTTCCACTCATAGAGCTTTAGCTCCGAGCATTAGTGGCCTTGCATCATTTGTATGTATCTGTTCCATCTTCATAACTAATTATAAAACATTTTTGGATAGAGACCATGTGCTCATTTGACAGTTCATTAATTTATCCTTTCATCTATCAAACATTCATTGAACACCTCTAGGCATGGGGCTAGATTCTAAAGGGACAAAGAACGCAGGATATGGTCTCCAACTTGAAAGACTTCCCAGTACGTAAAGAATGGTGGAGCAGTGTGTCAGGTATAACAATAGAGATGTGTATAAGTTGCATAGAGAGGATCTTTCCCATTTGAGAGGAGGCAGTGCTTGAGCAGAACCTTGAAGGAAAAAGGAGTTCCCCAGGTAAAGAATGTGGAATAGGAAGAACATTCCAGAAAAGCTTCCAATATTCCTGGAGATGGTACAGGTGGGAGGGGACTAGGAATGAGGTCAGGCTAAAGCAAAAGGCGCCTTCAAGCTTATTCTCATGACATGGATTTTACCCATAAAGCAGTGTGATGCCACTGGGGGATTTAAGTTAGCCAGTGGCATAATTAACTCTTTTGACTGCAATGTGGATACAAACAGGTGAGGACTGGAGCCCGGTTAAGAGATGTTGCAACAATGCAGAGTTGGTGATGCCTGGATGAGGGTAGTGGGTGGGTTTTGGGAATCCAGAGAACTTGTTGAGGATGTGGGGGTGAGTAAAAATTGGTACCACCACTTTGAAGGGAGATTCATTACTATCTATTAAAACCCCCCAAAAAGGAATAGTCTGTGATTCAGAAATGTCAATTGTGGTTACCTACCCTAAAGAAGAATATTTGTTCAGCATTGTTTGTTTAAAAGAATCATACCAACATGTTCATTGGCAAAGAACTAGATAAAGAACATGACATTAAAAGGAATGAGCAGCACCTCTCTATAGCAAAAATGGTTCTATCTCCAACACATTCTATGACTGAGTCGAAAAAAAGCCGGTTGTAGAATGATACATGTAAGTATTGGCATCCGAAAGAAAACTCATTTTGGCGTATGAAGAGCCCCTTTGCAACCAGCTGCTTTTCCACTTTCTCACCCTACAGTGGACTTGTTAGGCATGGTCTCACGTACCCACACAGCACTTCTACTGTCTTCTTATTTCCTGAAGAAAACTACTTAATATCCAATAGATACAAAATAACATGGAACTCTTGGGGGTCACCATTTGCCTGAACTTTGTTTATAGTTTCACGTATGTGTTCACATCGTTCAATTTTGTGTGTCTTTGAACTTTGACATTCTTCTTTCACTTAGAGTTGTATTTTTGAGGTTCCATGTTTGTATTAGAGTTCTGCAGAGAAATAGAACCGAAAGATCTATGTAAAGGAGACCTATTATGAGGAGATGGTTTGTGTGATTACGGAGACAGAGAAGTCCCACCATCTGCTGTCTCTATCTAGAGACCTGCTGGTGTCATTGCAGTCTGAGTCTAAAGACCTGAGAACCAGGGTTGCTGGTGGTACAAATCCCAGTGCAAAGGCAGGAGAAGACCTATGTCCCAGCTCAGTAGACAGACCGGAAGCAAAAGGGGCAAATTCCTTCTTCCTCTGCTTTTTCTTCTATGTGGGCCCCCAACAGATTGGATGAAACTCGTCCAGATTGATGCGGGTAAGCTATTTTAATAAATCCACTGATTCAAAAGCAAGTCCCATAGGTACACCCAGATACAATGTTTAATCTGGGCTTCTCAGGAGTGAACATTTTCCTGGCAGTTCTCAAGTAATCAGGCACTAAGTGTGTTTACTGTGGCTCTTAAAGACTATTTATACCCAGGGAAATACAGTTGTACTTAATGTTTGTATGAGGTTATATGTGAGGACTGTAAGGGATGTTCTCTACGTTGTGTGTTCTCCGTGCTTCCTCTGAGTTCTTCCTTACGTTCTGTGAATTTGGAGGGAAGTAAGGAAGGTAGCATTGGCATCAAGGACAAGGGGGAGGAGAAGCAAGGGGGACCCATAGCATAGTCTCTGAGAAGGGCAGAGGCCCAGGCATTGTGCTGGAGAACATGCTTATGTCACTATTTGGCAATGGTTGGTTAGTTATCAACGAACCAGAGTGGAAGACCAGACGGAAACCATGACACCCACCCCGCCATAACGTTGGGTCTCCTCCAAAACCATTTCCCTTCTGAACGTGGATGCAGTGAGCTGGATAGAGGATATAAGTCGACTTCAGGAAGCTCTCTCCACATCCTAGAGCCTGAGGAGGTCCTTGCCGACCCTCTCACCTCTGCAGTTGGTCAGACCTGTCTTCAGTTCCATGGGAGGCTTTGAGGGTCATCTGTACCCAGGCCTGTCCCTCTTCCTCTACGGACTTTATCACGCACGACTCGTTTTCAGGGCCTTGATATGCAACAGCCCCGTTCAGTATCTCCCACGCTGTCCCTGGAGCAAAGGAAGATGGGCCAGGCTGCAGCAAATGTACTATGTCGGCTTGGTGAAGATACTGAGCGCCTGCATTTTAGTAGCCCAAGAGCTGCATAGCATTCCTGGACAGTTTGTATTCATCAGCAAGATATATCATCAGAGGAACTTTTTGTATCGCAAGCAGTGGCAGCACCTCACTCTGTATATGACCTTCTTCCTGAGTGGGTGTGTAGATGTGGTAAGCCAAAACCTGCTGCCCCAGAGGTGCGCTGCTCTGGAGCAAAGTGCCCAAGTCCTGGGCATGTTTCTGCTTCTGCCCCTGATGGTGTCTCACATACAGGACTCAGAAGGCGTGGAGCTGCAGTCGCACCTCCTGCTCATAGGTCATCTTTTTTTTTGCTCGTGGTCATTGCAGAATTCTGGGCTCCCAACGTGCTGCAGCTCTGGGTGATGAAGGCCTTTCTGTATATGATTCTAGGCTCTTGGCTGATGCAGATAGGCTTTATGCTGTACAAACCCATCTCAGGCCATAAGTGGATGGACGATGACAAAAACGACATTATATTCGTCACCACCTTCTTCTGCTGGCATGTGGCTTCCATTGCCATTTTGATGACCTGGATCTACGGCTTCTCGTTTTGGTGGTATTGTTACGTTTGTTGATGTCTGAACCTGGGCGGGCCCAGAATGGTTCCTGTCACCTGCACCTTCTGGAGCACCTGGTGGAGAAATTGAGGGAAGTGGAGCTGTCAGAGAGGAGGACCAGGTGCCCTTCCTTCAGAGGTTCCACCTGATGCAGGAGACTCTGCTAGGACGGGCAGGCCCCCCCGCGCCCTTCTGGCTTCTCTCAGTCTCATTTGCTGAGCCGGGTGCAGAGGAAAGGTGATAGGCAAGTGACTATGACCTTCACTCCCAGCTCTCCCCGAGTATTTCCCCTACCTCTCCTCACTCTCTTCAACTCCAGCCAAGGCAGCTGCTCACCCTGCTCCTCTCTGCACTCTCCACTCCCCTCCAAGAGAATGGAACAATAATATACTACATCTTGCCTTTGGGTCTCGATAAATACCCTTCACCCACCACATAGAATACAAGCTAGTCATATTTAGTACATCATCATAGTTCACATACTGTATTACATCATAATAGTTTACCTCTCATAATAACCACCTCCACATCCGGCCTCTTTATGGATCTCTTCAATACTCATACTGAGTCGGAACTGCCATTTTGAATATGTAGAACCATTAGAACTGTTACTGAGTTCTTTGTCTTGATTACTTTATAATTTGTCAAAAGGAAAGTCAGACCTTTTTTTTCAGCTTTATTGAGGTATACTTAATATACCAAAAAAAATCGTACGTACTTCATGTATATATTTTGGTGAGTTTGGACCTATGTGATACCGTGGGGCAATGTCCTCCTCAGAGTCTAGTAGAACAGAGTAACGCCCCACATGAGTGAGGCTCAGAAGGGATCATCTGCTTCCAGAAGTTCTGTCTCTTCCTGAGTGTGTTCTGTAAGATCTTCTATCTGGGTATACCAGTCCATTGCTCTGTACATACCGCAATCAATTTCCAAGTAGTAGACCGACCTAGACCCACTCCTTCCTGGTTTTCATGTATAATACAATTCAATAGCTTGTTTATTTCACATCCTTTTCTTTTTACTCCTACAGCTACCCTGTCAGATCGGTTTATAGATGATAATCTAAAATTCAAAGAAAGTGGCTTAAGGTGGCTAGTCATTTTGCAATGCCACATAATGCCATAGCTGGGTGTCAAGGAGGGCTGGAATTCTGAAGAGTAGAGGTAAATTATTGGGGACTTGGGAAACAGTGCCTCTGTGTCACCATGCTGCTTCTCTCCCTGCTGTGCCTAGGAGATGGAGCATCTGTCAGGTATTCCTGAGGTTCCCAACCACCTGCAGAGCCTCCCCTGTGAAGGAAACCCACCCACCAAATATTATTCTGAGGTTGCAGCTTTAAAATGGCAGTATCAGTCCCCATTCGGACTTCTGATAGCGTCCTGGGATTCTCCAGCAATGAAGGCTCCCTGTTGTCTTTTAATGGAGGATTCCCCGGTCAGCCCTCCTGGCCCGGCCCCAGCAGGGTAGTCCAGATTTCTCCAGGCTTCTGGGCCTGTGGAATTCTGGCCCTTCATTCGGCTGCTGTGCTGCTTCTTGATCCAGGTGACCAGTGGAGCTCAGCAATTTCCCCTTTAGGTTCTGCTGTGTTCCTGGTTGGCCCCTCTGGTCCCATCTCCCTGGGTTTCTCCCCACAATCTTGGGTATCTTTCCAAGCCTTGCCCAGCCTTGCAGCTCCCCCTTTCTGTAGCCTAGTTGAACCTCCTCTAGTGATCTGCAATTGGGGTGGTAGGAAATCTGCTATATCCTTTCCTAGTGATATAGCAAAACTCTGTTTCCTACTTCACTCAGGCCTCCTCTTTTTGATATTTAGAGCATATTTTGGATTTTTTTTAACAACCAAAAAAAGATACTTTTTTGTTGTTATAATCAGGCCTCATCTTGAGGCAATAGCTTTCACTAATTAAGGGATGTTGTATACAAGGAGAGAAAAGCAAAGCCCATGTATTAGTATTTTGAGGTGTTTTCACTCTACAAAGGTAAACATTGAAGAGATACCAAAGCTACAAGTTGACAGAGCTGTCGCATTTCCGAGGACTTTTGAGTCCTAAGAGATATGGATGAGCTCATTCTTGTAGTAAATTAATGCCTAGAAATATTATGTCTCACAACATGTGTCTTTCAAGTAAAACAATAAATATTAATAGGGGCCTACAGAGCCACCAAGGATTATTAATGGGGCCTGAGATAATGGTGGAATGGGCAGGCTTCCTGTTTAGATGATAAGGACATTTCTTTATTCCTACATCACAATATTGCACGCGCACTCTGATAGTAATCCTAAACTTTGAAATGTAAAACCAACTGAAGATACATTTTGGGAAGAACAAAACCAAAAAAATAAATATGGTTTTGGAGAGAAAGGTGTCATCTTCACTACTATCCACCAGAGGGCACTATCTCTACACGTGCCCACTAAGGCATTTGCTCTCCATTTAGTATTGAACTATCCATTTAATAGAAATGAAAGAGGGAAGAAAAATACAGAAGCAAGGGTTGTCTCAGAATCCATTAATATAATGAAGGTCTGTGTGTTTCCTGTTAAACTTAGATGTGTGAATATGATAAGCATAATATTTAATCAATAGCTACAGATTATATTTTTAGATCTATAAACAACAGATACATATATATATAGATATCTACACATATATAGATTTATAGATATGTGTGTATCTCAAAAATACAGTGTCAATATCCCTTGAGCTAAAATGGCTGCTTTTTAGCAACCTTATAAGAACCATCAAAATGCTCTTTTTAGCTTATCTGTAATAATCTGTAATAATAAAAGCGTAATATGCAAATCGACCAAATGGCTAAACAGCGGAACGACCGGTCAGACGACCTTCTGGATGAAGCCGGGGCTGCGAAGGCCTACTCTTGCACGAATTTCATGCATCAGGCCTCTAGTCAGATAATAGGCATGCAATAATAAGTAGTAAACAAAGAGTCTGGTTCAGTAGCATAGATGAGATGTCAGTTTAATTCTGATCTTGGTTTTGAAGGATAAGTGGGAATTTGTTAGAGTTGTTCAGGCAGGCGTTCTAAGGTCTTGTAAGTTGCTGTGCTCAGGCACCTAGCTTGGCATTGCAGTTCCAGTGATGGGATTTCATGACCCAGTGGTTCCAGAGAAAAATATTGAGTTCCTGCCCCCTAGGAAGGGGGACTAAGGAAGAGCCACACAAAATTGTTTTATGGACAGCTTGAGAATTTGCTTTTCAGGGCTGAGAATTGATTGAGGACAAAGTATAAACCCCTAGTCTGATTTCTTCTTCATGGAAGGCACTTAGCTAATGTCTGTTGTCTCCCTTTTTAAAGCCAGTGGAAAATGAGATAACCCACAGCCAACCAGAGGAAACTATCTGGAAAGGAGGGGAAGAGGTGGAAAACAAAACTTGGATCTGAGGTTGAATTTTCCAGCTTATATGAGAGACAAGTCATTACATATACATTGGTTACCTGTTAAATTTCTAGAAGGATGTTATATCCAAAAGCTACATTAGAAATGGCAGATCCCTGCTTTCCCAAAACATAAAGTCAAGTTAAAAAGGCAGAACTTGCCGAAACCGGTTTGGCTCAGTGGATGCAGCGTCGGCCTGCGGACTGAAAGGTCCCAGGTTTGATTCCGGTCAAGGGCATGTACCTGGGTTGCGGGCACATCACCAGTGGGAGATGTGGAGGAGGCAGCTGATCAGTGTTTCTCTCTCATCGATGTTTCTAACTCTATCTCTCTCCCTTTGTCTCTGTAAAAAAAAAAAAAAATCAATAAAATATATATTTTTTTAAAAAAGGCAGAACTTAAACTTAGGACTTAAAACTATCATTGGACAACAGTGACAAAGAACCTGTCAGTGCACACAAAATAGTATGGACTAAAGGCCTTAGAGTGGGAAGAGTCTGAGACGTTCAAGGGGATCCAGGAGATTGGGTCACATAAAGACTGGTAGAATCTGGAACCCTTTGGAACAGGTGTCACTGTGCATTCTCAACGAGCTGGGTTCTGTTAATGGGGCTAATGCTGCCCCTTATGTATCACAGTGGCCGGAAGAGCATGGCAACATGAGCAATGCTGGTGAGTCCCTGAGAGGGAGGGCTCCCAGGCTTTGAGTCCCCAAATAAGGCAAATCACTCACCTCCCCACTCATTAATAGACCGGAGTCACTCAGGGACATCACGAGTGGCTCTTAGTTCTTCCTGTCCTCTGTTTTCCTTCACTCTGCTCTTGTTTTCCCCACCCCACCTTCCCCACCTTATGCCACCATATATTTGAGGACAGGACAGGACCCCATTCATAAGACAACTAAGTAAAATGCCGGTCAGGCCATCCTGTGTCATACCTCCTCCAGGCTAGCATGAGGTTTAGGATTAGTCAATGATTTCCTTGGTTCTCAAGTTGATATTATTAGTGTGTGGGATGAGTGTTGCAAGCCTTCCCAAATTATTAGGAAGTTTGAAGGCAGAAGAGGTGAGAAAGGGAAAACAAGAATGAAGAAATTATAGGATGAGTAAGGGGAAGATGTGGAGAGCTTTGTTCCCATACCCCAATAAGACGGTCCTATCATAATCAAGCCCTTGTCACCAGCCATGTGTATAGTTATGGAACACAACCAACTGGGAAATTTCTGCCAAACCCCACTTTCCTGTACTCAGCTGTCTTAATAAGCTTATTGAACAAATCCATGGCAGGCCTTGTGAATGACAAACAAACAAAAGTCCTAAAGATTGAAGATCTATAGAACTTAGACATTGTGCAAACCCTTTCAGTGCCCACGAAAAGAGGGATGAAAAGGCAAGGTCCCTACTCTCATAGAGTTCAGTCGAGTGAGGAAGACAAGATACACCAATGGATGAAAATAATGACTTGTTCGTTGTAATGATGGGAGAGGTACATGATGGTGGGGGGGGGGGGGTGGCGGTGCCATTGCAGTAGCTTCTACTGTGCTTGGTTCACCACAAAGATTATATGTAGCCAAGTTCCTGATGGATGACTAGTTATTTCTGAAGCAGATGGGATTGAGATGACATTTCAGGCAATGGGAATGCAAGAACAAAGACATGGAGGTTGGAAGTGAGAATACAGAGCAATGCGTAAGGAAGAGCAATGTCTCGTCTGGTCAACAGGTGGCACTGTTGAATGTCTTTGATAGCTTCTTTCCATATAGATATTGTTTACTTCCTCTTTTATAACATCTGTAGGAAAGGAAGTTTAATTAAACATGAGGATACACACAAGAAGTGTCGGGAGGAATTATACAGAAAAGTCCATCATTGAGAGGAAGTCCAAGGGGTTTAATTTTAAGGGGTGGTGGGAGATGAGCCTGGGAGGGAACCCAAAAGCCAGAACTGGTGAAGCTCAGATACTGTACTAAGGAGTTTGACTTTAGGACAGTGAAGAGTCTTTGAAAGGTCTTAACAATAACAACATCAGAAGATTATGGCAGCAGTGTGTGGAGAATGCTTGGAAAGGAAAGAGCCTGGAGCTAGGGAGGTGATTTTAAGAAACCGATGGAGTAGTCTAGGTGAGAGATGACAGGGGCCTGAAATAAGGGAGTGACTTATTTTATGCATGGAGAAGAGAGGACAGGTTCCAGAGACATGTAGGGAG